TTAAGTATGCTAAATAGGTTTTTAAATTTATTTTAATGGTTCGAATACTTCCAAAGTTAAATTCTAATTAGGTTTTAAATTGTATATTCTATTGTTTTAGTGTTAGCTATATACAGTATATGCATACTCTGTGTGTATGTGTGTTTACATACATATATATGGGCGGCAGCCAGATTTCTCACCAGAGTGATGTACAGGGAGCATACAACCTCCCTGTTATGCCAGCTCCACTAACTGCCAGTCTGCTACCGAGCACAATTTAAAGTGCTGGCTAAGGCCTATAAAGCCCTAAATGGTTCCGGTCCAGCTTACTTATCCCAACGCATCTTCCTCTGTGAACCATTTTAGTGATTAAGATCTTCGGAGGGGAGGGGGGCTGCTCTCAGTCCCACCTCCTTCGCAGATGCTGTTGGTGGGGATGAGAGACAGGATCTTCTCAGTGGTGGCCACTCAGTTGTGGAACTCCCTCCCTAGTGACATCAGATTAGCTCTCTTACTCCTGACCTTTAGGAAAAAAACCGAAAACTTGGTTGTGGGACCAAGCTTAGGGATAATCAGTTAGTGCAATATGTGAATATAGTATGGTGCAATGATAACTTGAACGGTCTGGACTATGATATTGGATGATGTGATTTTAATGTGTTTAATGTTGAAATGTTTTAGTGAGTGTTTTAATGTATATGTTTTTATTTGCTGGACATGTATTGTATGGCATTGAATTGTGCCTTTGTGTGTGCCACTCTGATTCCCAATCAGAGTTGGGAAGGGCTATATATATATATATATATATATGATAAATATTTCTGATTCCCAAGCAAATATAAGGAGTACATCAAACATTGGTCCCAAGTATTTCAGATAAGGAATACTCAACCTGTGTTATAGCTGGGAAAATTAATTTTGTGGTTAGGCTTGGGTCCCATCTCCAAAATATCTCATTATGTCCATATATATAAATACTGGTATTCCAAATTGGAAAAAAAAATCCAAAATCCAAAACATTTCTGGTCTCAAGCATTTCTGATAAGGGGTGCTCAACCTTGTATTCATTATTCGGGCAGCAAGAAACTCTGTACATATTTTAATATGGGGTAACCCTCCCCCTTCTCCCTCGCACTAGACTTACTTAGACTGGCAGGTGAGAGACTGAGAGGATTTTTATGGGATTGTGTGCAATAACACCCTACTTAGTTCTCACTCTAATACACATCAAATGTTCCAAAAAGAGGACAAAATGGATTAGGAGCCCTCACGCACAGAGACTGTGCTTCAGCCACCCTGGAGATCTGTCCTATATATGAATTATGTGGTGTAGGGCTAGACAAGAGATCATGTAATTGTAAGGACCTTCTTTTATGTATAGCACACTTCTGTCTTTCCGAGAATTCTGTCTCTCGCTTTTTTTGCAGTGGCTGATATATTTTTGGACTTCTAGCGGCTTTGTCCAGAATAGTTTTGCCACCTTACAACAAACCCCAGAGTTTATGACTTTTTGAGCTAGAGGTGGCACTCTATCTTGGAAGCAGGCCTGTAAACTATGGTGATAGTACCTATTGCATGTCCCCATGCTCTCCTATTGATATGGTTCTGCAACCTACCTAGTGCAATGACCCCCTTCTGCTTCTGTTCTGGAATAGCTGCACAGAACTGATGGCAGGAGATATGATTGTCCTCCTTTCCCACTCCCCTCACAATAATTAACTATTTAGAGAGGTTTTGTTTTTGTCTTTCATTGAATATTGCTAAAATTGCGAAGTTGTTTCAATTAAATACATTAAAGCCAACAATGGTGCAACTAAAGGGGGTGAAGTCATTGCATAAATCAATGGTTCCCAACCTGTGGTCTGCAAGAACGAAAATATGGTCTGTGGCATCACCATTATTACACTGTTGCCTCTAAACCATGCAGGAATGAGAGCAACTGGTCTCACGAAACCTTCTTAGGCAACTGTGGCAATGGGGATGTCGGGAAGGGAGAGGTGGACTACTACCACATCAGCTCTAGATTATTGAATATGGTTTTCTGTGGGCGAGTAGATGGTGACTAATAGATGGCATATGTTCTGTATGAGAAACTTGAGCTGATGAGGTCAATCCAATGCAATTTTCTGAATCAGCACCCCAAATAACCAAACCAAATCTAAAGTTGACCAAAAACTGATTTGTAATCCTCTTAGTACTAATGTTGGAGAGTGGTCCCTGGTGAAGTGATCCCTGGTCAATTATTCCCTGGTCAAAAAAAATAGGTTGGGAACCACTGGCATAAATGGAAGAACAAATACACCAAGACAGACTGCCAAAATGTCATAGTTGTGCAACATCTCAAGGTCGGATAAGGATGGTCATCATGCTGGTAAGTTGTGACTACCCACCTGGTCACATGAATGAATGATAGTGGTACCAAAGTCCACTTAATCCTCTCCAATACAAACCCTACTCTTAAAATAATAGAATCCCTAAAATTGAAATCAGCAGAGGTGTCCTCTAGCCGGTCCTCTTATTTTCATTCCACTTTTATATTTTTGTTAATAACTAGCTGTGCCCTGCCACGCGTTGCTGTGGCCTATAATAAAACTTATCAAAGTTGAGGTAGATATCTGGACTATTATGAAAGAGAAGTACTTACCTATTCCCCCTTTTCCTCTCCCTTTCTCTCCTTTCTTCCTTCTCTACCTCTTTCTTTCTTTCCTTCTTTCACTACTTGGTTTCATCCTTCTCTCGTTCCTTCATTCCCTCCCCCTTTCTTCCTTTGCCTTTCTTCCCTCCCTGTTTGCTTCCTTCTTTCTCTTTTTATTTCCTTTTATTTCACCACAATCATAACAATAACAATAATGCAATGCATTGCCTCTGGGACCTGACACCTCTCCCATTCTCCCAGGGTCTAATAGGAATAATAGCATAATAATAATAATAATAATAGAAATAACAACCTTTACCCGCCACGTGTTGCTGTGGCCAACCTTCCCTCTTTCTCTCCTTCTTTCCCTCCTTCCTTCCTTCCTTCCTTCCTTCCTTCCTTCCTTCCTTCCTTCCTTCCTTCCTTCCTTCCTTCCTTCCTCTTTCCCATCTTTCCTTCTCCTCTTCCTTCTCTATCTCTTTCCTTCCTTCCCCCTTTTTCTTTCTCTTCTGGTCTCTTTTCTTCCTTCTCTCTTTCCTTCTTTCCTTCCCTCCCTCTTTCTCTACATCTTTGCCCTTCCTTCACTCCCTCTTTCCTTCCTTCATTCCCTTTTTTCTTTCCTTCTCTCCTCCCTTCCTTCCCCCTTTTTCTTTCCCTCCCTCTGTCTCTCATTTCTTCCTTCTCAACCTCTTTCCTTCCTTTCCCCTTTTTCTTTCTCTTCTGCTGTCTCTCTTTTCTTTCCTTCCATCTTTCCTTTTCTTTCCTTTTCTTCTTCCTTCTTTCTTTAACATTCCTTCCTTCCCCCTTTTTCTTTACCTCCCTTTCTCTTTCTTTCCTTCCTTCCTGTCTTTCCTGGATTTTGACAGGGCGGGAAGGGGCGGGGTGGGGTTTGGAGGTGGCGTGAAGTAAAAGGAGGTAAGATTGGGGCAGGGGAGTGATGGAGCGTGGGGTTGTGTGTGTGTGTGTGCGGCGGCGGGGGGAGTGATGGAGCGTGGGGTTGCGTGTGTGTGTGCGGTGGCGGGGGGGGGTTGGTGTGTGTGGGTGGCGGCGGCAGGGGGAGTGGGGTTGCGTGTGTGTGCGGCGGGGGGAGTGATGGAGCGTGGGGTTGCGTGTGTGTGTGCAGCGGCGGGGGAGTGGGGTTGCGTGTGTGTTTGAGGCAGCGGGGGAGTGATGGAGTGTGGGGTTGCGTGTGTGTGTGCGGCAGCGGGGGAGTGATGGAGCGTGGGGTTGCGTGTGTGTGTGCGGCGGCGGGGAGTGGGGTTGCGTGTGTGTTTGAGGCAGCGGGGGAGTGATGGAGTGTGGGGTTGCGTGTGTGTGTGCGGCGGCGGGGGGAGTGATGGAGCGTGGGGTTGTGTGTGTGTGTGCGGCGGCGGGGGGAGTGATGGAGCATGGGGTTTTGTGTGTGTGTGGTTAAGTTTCGTTGGGGTTTTTTTAGTTTTGTTGTTTTGCCGTTTTGTGAGTGTGTTGTTGTGTTGTTTTTCATTTTGAGTAGATATGTTTGTACCTTGTGGGTTGTGTTATGGGCATGGGAATTTTGGTTAAGTTTCGTTGGGGGGTTGTTGAGTTTTGTTGTTTTGCCATTTTGTGAGTGTGTTGTTGTGTTGTTTTTCATTTTGAGTAGATATGTTTGTACCTTGTGGGTTGTGTTATGGGCATGGGAATTTTGGTTAAGTTTCGTTGGGGTTTTTTGAGTTTTGTTGTTTTTGCCGTTTTGTGAGTGTGTTGTTGTGTTGTTTTTCATTTTGAGTAGATATGTTTGTACCTTGTGGGTTGTGTTATGGGCATGGCAATTTTGGTTAAGTTTCGTTGGGTTTTTTGAGTTTTGTTGTTTTGCCGTTTTGTGAGTGTGTTGTTGTGTTGTTTTTCATTTTGAGTAGATATGTTTGTACCTTGTGGGTTGTGTTATGGGCATGGAATTTTGGTTAAGTTTCGTTGGGGTTTTTTTTGAGTTTTGTTGTTTTGCCGTTTTGTGAGTGTGTTGTTGTGTTGTTTTTCATTTTGAATAGATATGTTTGTACCTTGTGGGTTGTGTTATGGGCATGGGAATTTTGGTTAAGTTTCGTTGGGTTTTTTTGAGTTTTGTTGTTTTGCCGTTTTGTGAGTGTGTTGTTGTGTTGTTTTTCATTTTGAGTAGATATGTTTGTACCTTGTGGGTTGTGCTATGGGCATGGCAATTTTGGTGCCGTTTCGCTGGGGGGTTGTGGAGTTTTGCTAAGCCGTTGAACCAACCTAACAGATTTATATATATAGATTCATTTCTTCCAATAGTTTGCTTTTTGATTCTTCTGGGATACCTTAGCATTTGTCACAGGCTTCCTTATATATTTCCTTCTTGTAGTGAAATACTTGCCAAGAGTAAAATATATTTTCTATTTCCTTTTAGACAGCAATCCCAATCATGAAGACTGTGATTTTACTTATAAATATTCTTGGAATAACAATTGCTTCTCCAGTAAGTATATAAAACATACTTAGATTGCTTTTGAAATAGTTTAACATGTTTTTGTCTATTTAAATTCATCTTATTGTTTTAATCTGCTTAATCTGTGATATAAAGATTTTAATAAAGAGGTAAATGAATAATTTACAGGGGCTGCTGATTCTTTTGTGACATAAATAGAACTAATCAGGAATGGGCTGGTTCTAGCAGATAATAGCATTATGATTCTATTTTAATTGCATCCAATGGAATTCTGGTTTTTGCAGAAGACATTGGTGTAGTGCACTTCATCTTGTTTATGTACATCGAGGATCCAGTGGGCCTAGCCAAAAGATTTTGGTCTTCAAGGGCTTTAGAGCCCTTATCTTGCTCATTATAAAGCACACATTATTATAATCAGGTTCACAGTATGATAGAAAAATATAGTTGAAAGGAAGTCTAAAAGCCATCTAGTCCAAGCCCTATAAATACTGGAATAAACACCCCTCTGAACACCTCTAAAACACCTTTAAAATAGTGTACTGGGTGGTGCAATGAGTTAAACCCTTGTGCCAGCAGGACTGCTGACTGAAAGGTTGGTGGTCTGAATTCAGGGAGCAGGGTGAGCTCCCGTCTGTGAGCTCTAGCTTCTCATGTGGTGATATGAGAGAAGCCTTCCACAGAATGGTAAAACATCTGGGCATCCCCTGGACAACGTTCTTGCAAACAGTCAGTTCACAGTGCATATAGATTGAAATGAAGGAGGATCTCCAAGCTCAGAAAACTTTTCCCTAATCCTCCTGAACCTACATTTATCTACTCTTCCACCATTATCCCAGGGCAGTTTATAAAAGAAGAGAAAGCTTTATACATAAAAAGAAAAGAAAAAAAAGACTCACATACGACAGCAACAATAAATGCAAGAATGCTTTAGAAAGCCAGAGAGAACAAAGAAAATGCATTTGCTGCTGAAAAGAAACTAATGGTGGTAGCTCCAGGAGATCTGTGTTTGGCAGACAATGCTATACATATTCTGTCACACACCTACTGATTATAGCCCATCATTTGTTATATTGTCATTTTAAAAAGCCAAAGTATTAAAAGAGATTTCAGGATGTAAATACACCCTTTTTCATGCTTCTCTTTCCTTTTTTCAACTATTGTTCTATGTTACATCTTTGTGACAGATTCGGTGGAGTGAATTTCTACAAGGAAGAGGCTATGGAGGCAACATCAATTCCCTTAGTGCTGATAAAGAAGTCCTGAAGGTTGGGTTTGCTGGTGAGAATCAGAACAAAGATGGTGACCACCAAGAAGGAGAAATATTTTTTGCCCCCACCAGACAGTCTGATATTGCTGAAGAAGTTTCTGCACTTGATCCAATACATCCTCAAGGAGGTTTTCTGCATGAAAATGAGAGCCATCTGCTCCATAAGGACACTAGACTTACACAGGCTAATAAATATGAGACTGAACATACAACACAGAAAAACATGGGCCTGAATGTTTACTTCCCTGCAGAGAAAGCTATTAAGAACATCCCTGTAGACACTTTTAAAGAAACCACTAATGCTGAGGGAAGTGCATTAGGGCATTTGAGAGAGCGAAATGCCATCCATGGTCCAGTACCATCAATACCCATCATTCCAGAAGAAGGTCTCATTACTGAGGAACATCACATCAAGGGATTCCAAACCAGCAGTGGTTTTAAGGCAAGAAAAGATACTGATGGACGATATGATGATCATTATGGATTTTACAGTTACCACTTAAACGATGAAGGCATGCAAGGAGATGATCCAAGCTATTTGGAGGACTCTGATTCTAGTCAGCAAACAAGGGGCCAAAGCGATTCCAGTCAACAGCCTGGGGACTCAAACAGTCCTAACAGCTTAAATGAGGAAGAATCAGAACAGTTCACCACATCAGTAGAATCTGGAAGCCCAAATTCTTCCAGCAGATCCCCTGATTCCAGTGCTTCCAGTGATTCTGGTACCTCTTGTGATTCGAGGAATTCTAATGATTGTAGTGGCCCCAGCCATGCCAGCAGTTCAAGTAGTTCCAGTGATTCTAATGATTCTATTGACTCAAGCGATTCTAGTGATTCTTCTGAATCAAATGATTCTAGTAATTCTTCTGACTCAAGTGATTCTAGTAATTCTTCTGACTCAAGCGATTCTAGTAATTCTTCTGACTCAAGTGATTCTAGTGATACTTCTGAGTCCAATAGCTCTAGTGATTCTAGCGACTTGAAGGATTCTTCTGAATCCAGCAGCTCCAGTGAATCCAGTGAATCCAGTGACTCAAATGAATCCAAAGACTCAAGTGAATCTAGAGATTCTTCTGACTCAAGTGATTCTAGTGATACTTCTGAGTCTAACAGCTCCAGTGATTCTAGTAACTCAAGTAATTTTTCAAAGACCAGCAGCTCCAGTGAATCCAGGGACTCAAGTGACTCTAGAGATTCCTCTGACTCCAGTGATTCTAGTCATACTTCTGAGTCCAGCAGCTCAAGTGAATCTAGAGATACTTCTGACTCAAGTGAGTCTAGTGATACTTCTGAGTCCAACAGTTCCAGTGATTCTAGTGACTCAAGACATTCTCCTGAATCCAGCAGCTCCAGTGAATCCAGGGACTCAAGTGATTCTGCTGATTCTTCAGACTCCAACGGTTCAAGTATTTCTAGCAATTCTTCTACCTCAAGTGATTCCAGTGATTCTAGCAGTTCTTCAGATTCTAGCAGCTCCAATGATTCCAGTGATTCCTTTACCAATTCCAGTCATCAAAGTGATTCTAACAGCTCCAATGGTTCTAGTACCTCCAATAATTCTAATGATACCTCTAGTGACTCTGGCAGGTCTAGCAGCTCCAAATAATCTATTTGAGAATACCTAAGAGCCCTATATCAATGGGAAACATATTCTTGTCCAGACCGCAGTTACCTAAAACCACTGATATGATAAAACTCCATTAAATTGTCTCACTTCTGGTCACAGCATACTATAAAGCTGCATTAGAGGACCTAGAGACTGATAGAGAGGAAGATACCATAGAATCGCCTAAAGGACCTAGAAATTTTCTAGAGAGACTACCACCCGCCAGGTGTGAATAAATGAAACTGTGGATATGGACTGTAGTTTTAGGGCTCTTATGTAATTGAAATAGTACTAATAGACATCAGCATTACAGAACAATGCTGTAACTGCAGTCTATTTAAAAAAAAGAGATAACTGTAGACTACATTTTGATCGTGAATCAGAGAGAGAGAGAGAGAGAGATGCACATGCCATTACAGTATGGAGATATCTTTTTGTAGTGTTCTAAAATATATTTACTATTTGCTTATGTTTTTTGGAAACTTGAGTTCTAATTGTACTATTACGTAACTTAATTGCATCCCACTAGAAAAGAGAGAGAGCACTCTCGTAACAAAGAATGTTCAATATCTTTACAAAACTGCACTTCCTAGGATTGTCATACTGCTTTTCAAGATCATTGTAAACTCTAGGACAATTTCAGTTGATCTCAAAATAGTTCATGAATGTAGTTAATACAGTGGGACTTCAGCATTTAGTAGAGTTTGGTACCAGGATCCCCTGTGGATGTCAAAATCTGCTCAAGTATCATTATATATGATGGTGTACTAAAATGATGTCCTTTATATCAAATGCCCAAATAAAAGTTTGCTTTTTGAATATTTTCTTATTATTTTTAAGCCATGGATGTTGGAAACTGTAGATATAGACTGTACATATTTGCTGTATATTAATAAAAATATATAATTGATACTCCTCTACACCATTTGTTTTACTTTAACTGATTTCATTTTAGTGTTCTTCCGGCTTGTGTTTTCTGGCTCTGCTTGGGAGGAACATATCCAGTTTTGTACACACAAAAATTCATTTGGACATGGAGCTTTTACACATCCTGTAATGCTATGATATTCATATTGGGGACAGGAAATCCTCCAAGGATTACATAACCAATGTCATTTTACCCAGTGCCTTTTGGGTTAATATAAGCTTTGGCTAGAAAGCCGTCCACAGTCCTCATACTGGTGATGACAGACAAATCCTCCTCTCTCTTGTATTCTCTGTGGGGTTTTTGGCATTTGTTTTCTTTACTTATTTTGAGGATTGTGGCTTCTTTTTAAAGCTAGGGTGTGGAAACTTGACAACTCAACAAAGCAAGTCTACTGAAGTTGTCAAAAGGACAACCCCAAGCTGTACTGTAAATATCCTGGCAGAACAAGACAAACATCATTTTCAATATGCTTAGGAAAATAAATATTTTAAAAAAATTAAGTACCCAGATTGCAAAGAGCCCCACTTGCAAAGACCTTTTGTAGACTCAATCAGTGCTGCAGCCATTAGATCAAACAGTACCCTGTCGTATATGTGGCTACGTTTGTGGATTCCTGTCACTCGCTAGCCTAGTTAATAGTCCTGGTAATAATTTTCAACCATCCTTTTAATTAGAAAGCAGTGAGATCCCAGACAGATGAGATGCCACTAAATATAGCATCCAAACATAAGCAAGATCACAACGGATGAATGGAAGCTGTAGGAAAACAACTTTCAGATAAACATTAGGAGAAAAGGATGTAACAGAAAGAGCTATTCAGCAGTTGAATGAACTTTCGAAGGCGACGGTTTGGATTTGGATGGCTCTTGTGGTCTCTTCCAGGTCTATGAATCTATGAAGCAGGGAAAAAGCCACCATAGACACAGGATTAATTGATATAGCAAAAGAAATGGCCCATGAGGTCTCTTCCAACTCTTTGATTCTATGATTCTATGAAATGGGCTCCATTTAGAAAAATAAAACAAAAGGAAGGGGTGATGTAGATTTATAAAATTATCAGGTTAGGCACAGTGAAGAAAATGAGGGTGTCTCTTCTGTCACAATACTAGAATTTCTGGTTAACCAATAGAACATATAAGAAGTAGGTTCAGGAGAGAAAAAAGAAGAGATAATCCATTCTACCCAGTTCACACTATTAATTCTACTCGGATTCATTTAAAAGGGCATAGGACATGTAGTCATGGGGAGAAGATGCACTAATTACTATCAGTCACTTCTAAAGCTTGGAAAAGTTACTTTTTTTTTACAGCAACTTGCAGAATCCCATAGCCTGGCTGTGATAGCTAAATAGAAATTCCAGGCCCAGAGTCTCTCTTCCACTTGCTGGGTGAAACAACAGCTGAGTACTACTGTCCTGACAGTCTCCCAGGGCCCTTCCATACAGCCATAAAACCCAGAATACCAAGGCAGAAAATTTCACAATATCTGCTTTGAACTGGATTATCTAAGGGCCCTTCCAGACAGTCCCTATATCCCAGGATCTGATCCCAGGTTTTCTGCTTTAAACTGGATTCTGTGAGTCTGCACTGCCAGATAATCTGGGGTAAACAGAAAATCAGGATCAGATCCTGAGTCCACACTGCCATATATTCCAGTTCACAGCAGAAAATGTGGGGTTCTATTCATCTGAATGGAAGGGGTCCTAGATTCCCTGCTCTTTTTGGGGAGCAAGATAGAGGACTAGATAACGCCTGTGCCTTCAAGTGTTCTATCAACTTATAGCAACCCCATGAATTTCATAGGGTCTTCTTAATCAAGGAATACTCAAAGGTGATTTAACCAGTTCCTTCCTCTGAAATACAGCCTGCAGCATCTGATATTTGTTGTTGTTGATGATCTCCAATCCAAGTTCTAACCAGTGTTGATCCAACTTAGCTTACAAGATCAGATGGGATCTGGTGCCTTCGGAGGTAGAGAAGTGCGGGGTACAATTATTTGAAATAAATAAATAAATAAATTACGGCCTTTTGCAATCTTTATAATAGTTAATTTTGCTTGGAGCAACACAACTTTCTTTCTCTTCATGTGAAAGGGACATTCTTGATTTTTGACAGAGCTCAGGAAAACAAAATGCTTTTTTTAAAACTACAATGTCCACAATTCTTTGGAGAATTGTGATATATCAGATCCAAAAAAGGGAACTTTTCTGCATTGTAGATTTTGTGGAAAAAATGTTTCTTTCCATAGGCAACACTAAAGTTCCATCTATACATAAGAATGAAACCTATCATCCCTACTTTTTCTTTCCCTCTTTCATTTACTCACTAAAATGCATACTGACCTCAGCAAAATGTATTTATAGACAATGATTAGGGTAAGGGGAAAGCAGTAGGAAAATGTAGCTTAAGTTTACAAACTGCTTCTTTTAAAAAGTCATATATAATTTAGGGAGTCATCTCTTTACTTTGCCATGGCTGGAGAAGGTTGTGAAAGCCATCATGGTTATTTGGTAAAGTTTTCTAGTACTATGTTGGGTTGCCCTCATATGAATCATCACCAAAGCTTGTTTCAATATAACTAGTGCTTGTAAAAAACACATTTTGTTACAGTGACTTAGGTTGCACAGCTGATGTAACCATAATGTAATTTTTTCATGCTCTGGGATATACAGTGGAATCCATATCCATGGTTTCAATTATCCAAACACTCAGGAAAATGAACTCCAGAAATTTGCTAGATCCTCCATGTGACACTATAATATGTTTTCCCCAAAAGTCACCACACAGTTCCACTGAATGACCAAGAAAATTCCTGTAGAGGATACATCTGCCAGACAGTTTTACCTCTCTAGCTTTCAACTGCATTTACATGGCAGTGCAGTTGAGGCTGAAGTCTTCCAATTCAACTCTCCAGAAATAAATTACCATATATACTCGAGTATAAGCCGACTCGAACATAAGCCAAGACACCTAATTTTACCGCAAAAAACTGGGAAAACTTATTGACTCAAGTATAATCCAAGGGTGGAAAATGCAGTAGCTACTGGTAAATTTCAAAAATAAAAATAAAAATAGATACCAATAAAATAACCGTATATACTTGAGTATATGCCAACCTGAATATGTCAAGGGGAGCTTTTTCAGCCTAAAAAATGTGCTGAAAAACTTTGCTGATATTCGAGTATATACAGTAGTCGCCCCTGGTTTAGACCACAAACTGGGGTAGCCATCTTCAACAGCAAGATTCTTTTTTGACATCCCAAGGAGAGAGAGAAATAATATTGTGGTATTTCTAAAGCAGTAACAGAAGCAGTGAAAATGTATATCTGTTTGAGTGTTTTTAACACAAAGCTGTAAAGCAATGCTTTTTGGTTGCTTTGAGTAAAGCAATGCTTTTGGGACTCTTGGAAGTCCCTGAACAGACTCAGAAGTGGAGTGGGCAGATCAAAAGACAACCTGGCAAAATGACACTACCCAGAAGAATCCTCCACCATGTCTGACTGTGAGCAGAAGCAACTCCGCATCTGTATGCTTGTCCACATTGCTTGTCCACAATGCCCTGCCTCATGCACAGAGGATGAATTGTTTAAAGTTGCTGTTGCCCAATTTTGGTCTAAAATTATTTAGTCTCTTATGCTCCCACTATTTTTATCAGTATTGTATTTATTAATGCAATGCTTTTGACATGAAACAAATAAACACAAAGCTCTAGTGTAAGCCACATTTTCAATGAGAACATCTTCTTCAGTTCATAAACCTAAAGTTCTTTAAAATCTTTCAGGCAATAGTGCCCCAGTCCTTTGTAAAATGGGTAGTATTATTTCAACCTAGCATGAGCTGAAGACAAACTGTGAGATAATTTTTGGAGGTTCCTGCTGGACAAAAACATGCAAGTCATTTTGAAGATAATCAAGAGTAGCAGAATTTCTCAGAGAACTGTACTTTTTCAAATTAGTATAATTTCCTAATATTTCTATTATTCAGCTGTAATGTATGATATATAGAAGGCTTTGTATTCTCCAAAATAGTGCTGGATCTTGTGTAGAAACACCAAAGTTGTTCTGTCTGTCCTTCAACCAAATAATATTTGGTTATATGAGAATTACTGTATTCTAAATTTATCTCCCTTGCTATCCAAACTCTTCTTAATATCCAGCTGCTGCATTGCATGAATGTTTGTTCATCTGCTGGGTTGCAAGAAGTGGGATGTTTAAGCCCCCTCCCACCAGTGAGCAAGTTAGTGATTGTTTTCACTAATGTGTGCAATTTTTATCCTTTTATCCAATATGTGAATTTACCCAATATGTGAACAAAACTCAAACACAGGGGAACTCCAGACAAGAAACAATCAGGAACGCCTAATCACCTGTCAACAAAGGATTTTCCCAGGCAGTAACAAGCCACACATAAAAACTGTCAAGCCATCAAATGCTAATCAAGGTGGCCAAATGAAACATTCACACTTAGCTCCAACAGACAAGAGTTCTTTCTCCCACCCTGGACTTTCCGCATATATATAAATCCAATTTTCCTAGTTTCCAAAAAACCTCAAAACCTCTGATGATGCTTGCCACAGATGCAGGTAAAACGTCAGGAGAGAATGGCCATACATCCCAAAAAACCTACAACAGCCTAGTGATTCCGGCCATGAAAGCCTTTAACAATTTATCTGCATTTGTTTTGATGTGACAACTGCTTTGCAAAATTTGGAGAATGCTGAATATTAAAGGATACATGTCCTTCAATTGGCTCAAAAATGGAATTGCATTTATAATGCAAACCATGTAAGCTTCCCTGTCTTCCCTAATCACAGGTCTCCACTTGCACTGGAGGTGCTGAAGTGGCAGCAGTGGATCTGACTGACCAGAGGCTGCATTTCTCCACATTCAAATGCAGTTCCATGCAGGAAGGCTTTTCAGAAGCTAAAAATGACTTGACTTCTCGGAATGATGTTTCAGCAATGTCACAGCAGTTTGGCTTCTC